GCGCCTGTGCGTCTGCAAGCGATGGGATTTGTTTCCATATAGCAGAGTATAAAAACTTTTGGGGAATAATACTTGCTTTTTTATTCATTGTCGAAAGCAAAGTCAAGAGCATGAACAGATTTTTCAAGAAATTCTGCTGTATATTTACAGCCAGACAGCTCAACAAGATTTACTGTGGTCCATTTCCATATTCTATTTGTTTTTGGCTAAAGCCCCAAGTGCCCCAAGTGCCCCAAGTGCCCCTGGATTTCTAGGGTTTTTTCTCGAAAATTAATGGATTTGTGCGAAAGCCATACGAGACAACTGTGGAATGATATGCCAGTTGGAACTAGGTTTTTAATGTGAGCCTGGATTGTTCTTAATTTGTTCTTAAATTAATAGGGTGTAAGCAGTAGGATTGCCAGCTTTTTCGATCTAGGGATGTATTCAGGTCTCATTTGCCAACAAAGTGAGTGAAACATCCTTCATTTGCCGGCAGGTTTGACTATTCACCGAAAAAGCAGCCACACATGGCAAAAATTCCTGTGTTTTTAGGGTAAAACGTTATTCAAAATGGCATATTACAGTAGCTCAGCCTCAGCTTGTTCTTAATTTGTTCTCAACTTTTGGCCAATTCTAAGGCTCGTGTTATGACAAAATTGCTTTTATAAAATAAAGATACATATATGTGTGTTTATAAACATTTCTAAGTTTGGTTCAACTTGTCTTTGACCCCCCCCACCCCCCTCCCCCCCCAATCCGTCCATTACCATCTTGGCTATGCTACTGTCGATTGTTTTTATAAAAGTAAGTAACTCAACCCTGAATGTCTCACAAATGTCTAGATGTCTAAAATATGTCACATGCTAAATATCGAGTTGTCACCTTCAAGTTGCGAGGAGAATACTTTGGAAATTTCCTGCAGGCGCCAAGGATGATATCTGAAAGTGAGTGTGGATACTTGAACTTGCGTTGAATGAACTTCGAGTGATTTGAAGATTTCTGCCTTGCTTTAATTCCAAAAAGATTTTGTCATTCAGGCAATCCTTGCTAGAATGACTAACACACAGAAATAAAGACACCGTGGCACACCCCAATACAGTAATGTCATTGTCATATCTCTTTCACTAAAATCCAGGCTCTAATCTCCAGACGGAAAATCAGGCTTTCATTTGAGAGGGGGGGGGGGGCTCAGGCCCAGGATTTCCGACAAGAAAACATCTTGGATCATGTCTAATTCTAAAGGAAACTTGTTACTGCACATTTTGTTGAAAATAGACGATTATTGGGCGGGACCCTTAAGAAATCTTTGCTTACCACGCCCTTTTATAAAGTAGCTAGAAAAGCAACCATCAATGATTTTTGATATTACGATCACGATCGATATCTAATCTAAGGCGATTAATGATACATGAGGTTGACCGATTACACTACATTGACAAGTCATTCATGATAACTACACAACTGTAAATACAATCCTTTTTTTATAAGAAACTGGACAGTCAGAAAAAATCAAGAAACATTCAAGAGTATTCTACATGCATACATATTTTTTATATATCAATTAAGAACAACTAAAGCTACTAGAACGACAATTACATTAAGCTGTGACATTCATGGCGAGGAAAGACACAAGGTCACCGAGTCCTCACCATAAATGCCACATACAATTCAACAACAAGTTACATCATCTATGAAAAAAAGAAAGAGAAAATAAGAAAAAAAAAAAAGTTAGAGAAAGAAAAGAAAGGGGTGCTGCTGCTGTATTTCGGCATTAACTTAACCTTGCAGAGGCCTCAACGAAGGACATTGTTGCTTGTAATTGTACTGTTTGCAACTGTACCCAAATTTTGATCTCCAAACAAGAGTAAACGGGAGTAAATGACAAAGGTCTTTCATATTTACATCGGCAACATTGAATCCATCGATACCTGAGAGCTGGTCAAAGAGAACCTGGCGCTGCATACATATACAAATACACTTATGTTAAATAGTAAAGTCAATAGTTTTCTCTGACTTAGTCGTGCGGCCACCAAAGAGAGGGCATGAACAGTAACTACATCTCATGAATGACGTCATCAAACATTTAACTCCCCAATTACTTGCGTTTTCTAGCGGTGACATACTGTACATATATTTTTGACAAACCCTCGTTTTTTGACATGCAGAATTCAAATATTTGATCAGAAAAACATGAGAAATTTCAGTCCGGTTTGAAACTCACACCAACCTCAGTTCAGTTGGATGTTTGGTCGAGCCCCTTTGAGTGTTCACATGAGTAGGGCGAATTGAAACTCGGGCCAACCTGAGATTAACTTCGGTTTTTCAGGCCTGTTTGAATTTTCAAGCCGGTGTCATATGCTTTTCGGTAACCTTGTGCATTTTGGTCCGGGTACACAAACGCATGGCAATTTTGGTTATGCAAAAACGTACCCAAGCACTTAAACAATAGGGTGCCAAAACGAACATGGAATTTCGCATACAAAGCGGTCCCAGTACACAAACGCATGACAATTTTGCTTATACAAAAAAGTACCCAAGCTTTTAAAAAACAGGGAACCGAAACGAATGGTGGAATTTAGCATGCGAACCGGTCTGGGAACACAAACGCATGGCAATTTTGTTAATACAAAAACGTACCCAAGCACTTAAACAATAGAGTACCAAAACTAATGGTGGAATTTAGCATGCAAAACGGTCCGGGTACACAAACGCATGGCAATTTTGTTAATACAAAAACGTACCCAAGCACTTAAACAATAGAGTACCAAAACTAATGGTGGAATTTAGCATGCAAAACGGTCCGGGTACACAATTTTGTTTATACAAAAACGTACCCAAGCACTTAAACAATAGAGTACCAAAACTAATGGTGGAATTTAGCATGCAAAACGGTCCGGGTACACAACGCATGGGCAATTCTGTATCCGGTCTATGCCATACAAATCTGTCGCACACCCGCAGCCCCACTATTTATTCGCCCAATATGGCGCGAATCGTGGACGCGTATCACATCCTCCCATGTGCGCACTCTGCGCGATGCTCCTCAGTGCCATACATGCTTGTGGGTGCTCAACATGTCATACGCTCGCGTGTGCACTATCGTGTGCTTTAAACAATAGGTTACCAAAACGAATGATGGAATTTAGCAATGCAAAAACTGTCCGGGTACACAAACGCATGGCAATTTTGTTAATGACAAAATGTTACCCAGCACTTAAACAATAGGTACAAAACGTAATGGTGGAAATTTAGCATGCAAAACGGTCCGGGTACACAACGCGATGGCAATTTGTTATGAACACACACATGTACCCAAGCACTTAAACAATAGGTAAAAACAATGTGGAATTTAGCAATGAAGACCGTGGTCCGGGTCACAAACGCAATTTCTGTTATGCAAAAACGTACCAAGCACTTACAACAATAGAGTTAGCCAAAACTGATGCGTGGAATTTAGCATGCAAAGACGGTCCGGGTACAAACCAACGCATGGCGATTGTCCGTTGGTTATGCAAAATTGGGTACCCAAGCACGTTAACACAATAGCGGTTACCAAAAGCGAATCGCATGGAATTATCAGCATGGCAGACGGTCCGGGTTCAGCAAAACGTCCATGGCCAATTTTGTGTTATGGCAACTAATTGATCACCCAAGCACTAAACAATAGTACGTTACCACAGTACGATATGGTTGGAGATTAGCATGCAAAACGGTCCGGTCACAAACCGCCAGTGTCTATTTTGCTCGCTATACAAACCACACCACAATCACGCCCAAACGTAATTCTAAAAACAAAACCGGACCACCAGAATACGAATTTCGGAACTTGTTCCATTTCTTCCGTGGGCAATTTTCTTCTACACCATGAAATTGCTACACGTAGTTGGTAAAATTATTTGCTTGTGGAATACAAGAATGCGTAGTGATTATGTTTTCCTGCGTTCACTTAGATGGATCGCATTGTGAACTCGTTGGATTCGCGGTTAGAACTTTGTTATACTCCAGAATTTGGCTTACGATACATGGCTTTAGGTTAAATTTAGTTATTAAGCGCTTCAGCGTTTTATAGCATTAAAATTGCTGTTAATTAGCTTTTAATTGTTCGGAAAACTGCCATGTTGATTCTTGCCTTCTTATGTGTTAAATTTTTGGAGAAGTGTTGTAGCGTTACTCATAACCAGGCGACTGGTAAGATTAAAAGAGAGCGCCTGTTAATTGTGATTTTAGAGAGTGCTGGCGTAAGATGTAAACACGGATGGTTTTTGAATACCAATGAACAACTAGATAGCAAAAGCAAATATCGTCTTTATTCTTCGCAGGCGTTCATCTTTAGATACTTCAAAAAATCTTTAGACATTAGCAACTGGAG